CAGTTCCAACCACACACCCCATATCCAGTGTAAACCCGAAGGAATAAGACCGGGAGGCATGCGGATGGGAGCCACGTTTCATCAACGGAGCCGGCCCACACTCCTTCACAGGCAAACACAAGCACACTGTATTTGGGGAATCAAGCGCACACAAGGCGGTGGCTGGACCGTAGTCCGCTCCACACTGAGTGCATGGAACCACTCTTCGAGCCTAACACGGCCACAAGGACCGTGCACCCCGTCCCCTCCAGCAACGACCAACTGTTTCCTGGAGCCAGTATGGACGACGTAGTGGGTAATAGACAGGTAGGCACCTTGTCAACATGCACATCAAGCGCAGCCACACCGGGGATATCAAACAACAGCCAATCACTTGAGAGAGAGAGAGAGAGTGAGAAAGAAAAAGAGAAAAACTCGATTTATGCATAAGGAAACGGTGACATAAACCTTAATTAAATAGCATACGTAATAAGTTGTTTACAAACAAATCCTAGCTAAGTGCACGAGGTCAGGAAGTATAGTTCACGGAATGCCACGAACACAAAAATGTTATGGAAATCGAATACAATTGGCTGAAGCGATGTGTGCAAGTTAATGGTATAGAGTACAGGGAGATATTTATATGAGAAAGAAAAGCATTAAGGTAAAAACTGTAAACCCACCACCTGAAATAAAGAGACTTAGCATGCAAGCACGCGGTTAGTAAATCGAATTCAGCGTGCCTACAAACGCTGCGCCGGCTCGTCGTAATTCTCTGCAGGACCCGTCGTCGCTTCTGTAGTGGTCCCAGATGGCACAGCTCATGGCCCACTAGACATATATATATATATATATATATATATATATATATATATATATATATATATATATATATATATATATATATATATATATATATATATATATAGTAATATATATATATATATATATATATATATATATATATATATATATATATATATATATATATATATATATATATATATAGTCGATTCCGCTTAATAGGACCAGCCGCTTATTCGGGCCAAATTCTGAAGAACCGAAACGAATCCTATTACGCTAGCCTAATTTTAGCCGCTTATTAGGACCGGAATTCCGCTTAATCGGACCACACGATAGAAGGTGGCAGGTAACAGGTGTTAAAATCAAGTTCTTTGCCTGGATGTCTGGACTAAACCCACAGTTCATATGTCGGGCAAGAAAGCGTAGCAGTCAGTTACGGTAATCCGAGTTGGCCTTTGGATAAACTGAACTGTGGCAACCTTGAGGCACATCTATCTAATTGGCTTCAGAACCGCCCGAAACTGACTGCAGTTTCCAAAACTTGTAGGCGGAGCGAAGACATACATGCTTGTTCACATGTCGTTAACCACTCGATCGATGTACCGCACGTCCATTGAGCCGAATGCCCTGAGCCCGCATTGCGGGCCTACTCTCGAGCACGGCAAGTGATCGCGGACACACAGGTCCGGCAAATCATAGGACAGCAGGTGGCTAGGTCAACCATAGAAATCTCGGGAGACAGACTCGAGTTCACCTCAGTGAACTGTGCGTGTCTTGTTGCATGTTATGAAAATGCCACGACGGGACTTGACGTTAGCTGAGAAGATTCCTTTCCTAGATCAGATCAAGGAACAGGGACCAACCACTAGTCAGCGTCGATTGGCGGAAATTACCTGCTTGCCAAAATCTACAATATCGCGCCCGATAAAACAAGAGAAAGATCTGCGAGAAGAATGGGCACAATGTGAAGGATGACGAGGTACTTCCCAAAAACGGAAACGTGAAGGCAAGGATCCAGACGTCGATGAGGCCCTTAATGATTGGTTTACCTTTGTTACTGGACGAGCCGTGCGAGTAAGTGGCCCAATGTTAAAGTACAAAGCAGAAGAACTCGCTAAAATGCTGGGCCACGAAGATTTTATAGCTACGGACGGCTGGTTGTCTCGATGGAAATCGAGACATGATGTAAAATTTAAGAAAGCACATGGTGAGAAAGAAAGTGCCAATAGCGCTCGAGCTGAAGAATGGAAAACAACAAAACTACCAGATCTTCTTGAAAAATTTCCAGCAGATGACATCTATAATGCTGATGAAACCGGGTTGTACTATAGGGCTACACCGGACGGCTCCTTAAGTTACAAACATGTTACTCTCTCTGGCTGCAAAAAGCAATGGATCGCGTAACTGTCTTGTGCTGCTCAAACATGTCCGGAACAGACAAGAGGAAGTTGCTGGTTATAGGAAAATGTGCCAAGCCTCGCTGCTTTAAGGGACTCAGAATGGACAGTTTACCAGTTGTGTATCGTGCGAACAGAGATGCATGGATGAGCTCTACACTTTTTAAAGAATGGATGAAGGATTGGGACACAGAGCTACAACGCCAGTCGAGAAAAGTGTTATTACTTCTCGACAATTGTGCAGCACATTCAAATTTGGATTTCTTGAAGAATATCCAGATGGAATTTCTGCCTCCCAAGACCACATATTGATACAGGCAATGGACATGGGCATCATAAAAATTTGAAGACCTTTTATGGTTCAAGATTGGTGAAGTACATCCTTGAATCAATTGAGGAAGGCTTGCTGACCTCATCCTCGACGGCCGGAGAAATCAGTGCAAAGGTCAACATTTTGCAAGCCGTTACATTCGTGGCCGAAAGTTGGCGAAAAATGAGCAGTGCGACAATTCGGAACTGTTTTCCTCACTATGACTTTAAGCATATTGTCTCGGAGATGGATGTGGATATGGTGATTGTAAATGAAAATGACGGCGAGAATGTGGAGCTGAAACAAGTTGAAAATTACGAAGAATTTTTGTCAATCGACAACGAACTTCAACTCTATGATGGAAATGAAGAATGCGATGCTGCAATTTTGCTCGAATAGCAGTGAAACACACGACAGCAACAAAAGACCATGGAAGTGATGAAGAGAACCCTAACGTGTTGATGCCAGTCACAAAACAGGATGCAAGGAAATGCATTGAAACATTGCACCGCTATTTCATGCAGGAAGGAAATGAAGGTAGTCCTATCCCTGCGTTACATGTTTGTGGGGATTTTGTGCGAATGCAGTCTGTTAAAAGAATGCGTCAAACCACACTGGATACGGTCTTCAAACGCTGAATGGAATTCGGTAATTCCTTTGTATAAAACTGTACTTCGCATGCTGAATATCTTGTAGGTCGTTACGAAGAATTTGTTTGTAAATTTCTTTTTCAGTGAACAAAGTTCGTTATCAAAGCAATTCATTTTTGTGTGTTTGCTATATATATGCCGCCAATACAGGTCATAATAGTAGTTTCCTATGTTATGTAAAGCACGTCCCATCTTGTTACATCGGGTAACTTCGGTTAATCGGACCAGCCGCTTAATAGGACCAAAATGGTCTGGTCCCGGTGTGGTCCGATTAACCGGAATCGACTATATATATATATATATATATATATATATATATATATATATATATATATAATCATATGCAACCAGCAGAACTTTGCCTACGTAGAGTTGATTATAAAGCTGACGAGCCGCTAGTTTACAGACAATATCTGCAGCCTCGTTTTTTGCCAGCACGGTAGTACGCGAAACCCGCAACGCCTTCTGAGCGAGTCCAGCGCCTCCTAGCATGGTAATCGGCAAGTTCCTGAGCTCGTTAACATCGTCCTGGTTTTCCATAGATAAGCTAAATGGTATGGAGTTGTAGAAATGCGAAATGTGTGCAGAATACTCTTTCATTAATCTCGTCAGGTATTTACAATTAAAGGGTAACATTATAAACTGTCAGTCCAACGGAGGCCAGGCCTGGATTGGTTAACAGTTCCATACCATTCGATCCCGTCAACTCTACCACCACGGTGCGTAAGAAGGATGTCTTCTTCACCGTTCCTAATTACGAGTAAATTTCCCTTGCATGACTGAAGTGAGAGCTTTTGACCGTAATTGTCCAAAAGTACTTGCCACGCTCTTCGTCTGATATGGAGACACTCACTTCAAATCGAATCATTCGCTCTACAGCAATCCAGTAGCTTCTGCGGAGTAATAGTCCTGGGATATGTAAGCAGGTGCTTGTACAGTCGGAGAGATGCAATAAGCCACAGCAAGGAATCGCAACAGTTCGATTTTCCAACATCGAGTTCCGCTGAATGATTCCTGTAAAGTCCTTTGTGCTATCGCGGAGTGCTACCCCGAAGGGTTCAACTAACATATTTCGACCGCGACTGCAGTCATCGTAGTAAGAGTAGTGAAATTAGAACTATGCACACAGTGTGCATTGCTGTGTCACTACTTTCACGTCCGCAGTGAACACCCCCCCCCAACCAAGACCGTTTACTGGACTATAGGCAGGCGAGCGCTGTTGAACACCATTGATCTGCCTGCCTTCACCTGCGTGTGTTTTCCGCCCCCGACCTAATACAGTTGACTATACAACTGTACGATGCTTCTCCAGGCCAAACCGATAGGCTGCACAAACTTTGTTGGTTCCTTTCTGGTACCGGCATTCATAGTAGTGCTACTGTCTTAATTTTGCAATATAAGTGCCTGTCTAAGTATATCCAATAGGTTATCGGTTCCGCATTAGTGAACTTTGCCTCCATAAATTGTTTAATTTGTTAGCACTAGGCTTCGCTTGATGGTACTATTGGTCTGGAAGCTATACACAGTAGATCACCAGCCAGAAGGTCAGTGTTCTGTGCGGCGACTACGGATCAGGTGTCCCGCGTCACCTCAATAACCCCCAAAGCACTTGGGAAGCTGAGCAGATTTGCAGCTGTGAGCAACTAATAGGCGTGCACGTTTGCTCATCACAATTCGGCCTCAGGCTTGGTTGTCACATCCAGTTTTAATTCATAAGCAAAATAAACCTGTTGGTTTTTGACCTTCAAGGGATTGCACTTACCGAGAGGCTGTGAACGAACATGATCGCATTGATCTCGTGCAAGTAGCCAATTTTTAACTTCCCACATTTACTGTTCTTCGCTTTATCCCCTTCCAAAGTAACGGACAGGAGTGCGATTTCCGGCTCTACAACGACTCCGTCTCTTTTCATACGCATAAATGTCTCATTCGAGCAATGTCACCCACCATAGACAGGGCTTGTCAGGAAGTGGCTGGAATGAAAGACTACAAGATGGACTATCTATCGGAGCGTGGATTGGAGACACTGGTGCATTACCTCTATTCCGGACGTGAGTAAGCCAATATTTGTGCTAATCTGCTAGCTTGTTTAAGCACTTGCCAACGGTGAGCTGTTATACGCTATGTTACAATGCTGTTACCAAGATATCTCAGGTCGTTTAACTTTTGCGAATTGGTAGGGTGGTGCTCATATTCAGGAGTTACCTGGTTAGCCATAACAACCACTGTCATTACTATCCTAATTAAGCTAAAGGATTAAATCACTGTCCATGGATGGCTCATACTAGCTCATACTAGCAACACATATCCTTTAGTTAACATGTAGTTTCGCATGCAGTTAACGAGATGGGACCAGGTATGTCCTGTTGATAAACCGTATGGTGCTCAGCGAAATAAGGTCCAATTTACAGGGTGTTGTTTGAATATTTGATCATCGGTGGCCTACGATTTCATGCCAGTTAAAGTAAATGGGGCTTCGACTCTCTTGTGACCAGCTAGATACGTTGTGTGCAGGGAGGCTGAAACACTGGGGGTTAACGGGGAGTGTAGCGACATATCCGGATGGAAACTATAGTACGGTACCTGATAACAGTACCTGGAGGTAAACTCTATTTTCTTTGAGACCCAACAGAGTAACATGTACTTATCTAAGAGCATGCTGACCGTTCAGACCAGAAATGCTCGGGTTATTTTACACACTGCACTTAGCCTGGTGCTGCTTCACCCACCCACACCAACGTTGATCTAACGTACACACCAGAATGACCTACAATGAGTGGTTTGCCGCTCAAAGCATGCTCACATGTATCCATCACGAAGGTGTGATTGTGGGGCTTGAATCCGGGTGTGCACATGTAGATTGCGGGTCACACCTACAGCAGAGTGTTCTGCGCATGTGGGTACAGCAGCACATTGATCCTCAAGGTCAACAGGAGTTGAGGTGGGCAGACAGATGATCCACAGCCCTGATTCAGAAACCTTCAGTGGTGTGATGAGGTGGTTGTCACGACTATACGCGGCGTAACGTCCTCGAGGCTTGCTTCTGGTCATAACAACTGCCACTGCTCAGGTTACGAATGCGAGTACACCAGACTTACTGTATTACGTATGAACTGGCTTACATCCTCCATAATTAATGGGAGCGAAAGCAGCTGCGTATGACTTCACTCATTAGGTTAGGCGCTGTAGTTTTTCAACCCGCTTGCTTCGGCCGCATATTCTCGGGTGATGTGGCAGCAATTGCACTTGTTTCATGATAAGTATGGTAAGTCCCAGAAGTTTCGTCCCTCTACTCTGTTAATGTGGCACAATGGGTCATTCCTTCGGGAGTGAGGTAGAGCGCACTAAACTACCAACTGTCCATTAGTAGATGTCCCGGCTGGTCACATGGGTCTAGAACGACCGTATTCATGCATGTGGCCACATGTGTACTTGCCGGTGTCGTTCATCATGGAAACGCTGGATGGCACAGAGTTGGAGTCAAACTACGGCCCGCCACAAGGCGAGTTTACTGATCAATACGCATGGTGTGTCGGGATTCTTGGAGCGGTGACAGGGGTGTAAAATCAAAACAGCAGTGCAGCATTACCGGGCTACTGCGGTAGAATTGTGGTGGCGCTTCGACAGGCGCAACTGTCCTGAGCATAGACAATATATTAGGTGCTTAGTGTTATCGCAACTAATGACAAAAGGGGACAAAATTTAAATTTTTATATTGTTGTACCTCGCCGTCTCGAAACTCTATGCTGCCTTTTTATCACACTTAATAATCGACACAACAGGAGTGAAACTCCGCTTTCGCGAACGCTTTCGCGAATGAGATTGTCAATTTTCGCTTATCGATTTTAATTATTCTTTCTCAGTGATGATTTGTTGTCTAATAATCCTCAAGGTTGGTGTAAAATTGCTGACAATGCACGCATACTGGTAGATAAAGCTTACTTTGATGACTTGATAGTGCTGAAATATTTTGTTACTCAATAGTATGGTAGCGTGGAAGATGGCAGATACTAAGTATAAAGTACGGCCACAGCTCAGGACAGGACATTTTTTAGAAACTCCCGTCACTATCGGAGAACGATTCGAAACCGATCTACAAGATCTAGTAACTACTGTTCCTCTTTACCATCCTATCACTTTGCCCACTCGGTTCAGAACTGGTAACACGCCATCTGTGATGGATCGTCTGCTTACCAACGAGGAGTATATGATTGCTGTATTGCTTTTAGACTGGCGGTTGGGTCGCAGTGATCACGTAGCCATCAGTCTGAACTTCGTCTGCTATGCAGAATATCTGAATAAGAACGATGAGACTGTGCGAAACATCACAAGCTACGAGCGATTAGCCCAGCTCGTCAGGGCTAAAAGTTGATCGTTCCTTGACGAAGAACCCCCGGAAGTCGCCTGGCTCGAGTTCGTCAACACTTTCAGTCAGCTGGTTGCAGAGACTTCAGAGATACAAGCTTGCAATAAGTGCAAATCAGTTTCTTTCGTGAGGAGCAGAACTCGAAAATGGATGATAGCACGCAACGCAGCATGGCAAGTGCATAGAGGAGCTCCAACAACAGAAACTTAAGACAACTATGTAGCCCAACGTAACCACTGCACTCAATTGATAAGAGAAGACAAAGCCGCTTATCAGCAGAACATCGCAAAAACCTTCAGTGCTAACCACAAAGGGCTTTACAAGCAGGTTAACAGCCTACGAAAGGTGAGGACAATATTTCCTCCACTCAGGACGGCCGATGGCCCGACAAGAACGGCTGTGGAAGCAGCAAACGCGCTGCAGACGCAATACGCCCCAACGTTTCCAATGGACTTGCCAACAAGCGATCTACCAAACTTTGTCTTCCGCTCGCCAGGACTAACCCACATCACTTTTACCGCGGAGGCTGTATTAAAAACGCAGACTTCTCTACGCAAACACAGCTCGCCGGGTGTCGACACCATTCATCCAGAGGCATTGGGAGCAGCAGCAAGCCAAATGACAGGACCTTTAGCTCAGTTTTTTCAGCACTGCTTAGACCAGAACCAAGTTCCAGCCATGTGGAAGCTTGGAATAATAGCCCCGATTCACAAAGGTGGAAGCAGAACTGATCCCTCTAACTACCGCCCGGTATCCCATCTTCCTATAGTCCACAAGTTCATAGATAAATAAATAAATAAATCTTTTATTCTCAACAAGGTGAGGCACGCCTTTACAGGCATGATCATTTTGACATAACGATGCATGATCAAGAATGTGCAAAAATCTGATATGTTTGCCATTGCAGTTTGTGTTTGTGTAGGCGGTATGTATGTATGTCATTTTGTGTGTATGTGTATGTAGCTGTGTATATGTGCTTGTAGTTGTGCTGCTCCAATCTTCAATGTTTGATATCGTCATCAATATGCGAGTAGGAGATTGGTGTCTGTGGGTTGGATAGAATTATCCGGATATCCACGGGGCAGTGACTTTATTTTGTGGCGAGTCACGACCGCCACGTCACAGTGTTGTTCAGCAGACATTTGTGGCTTTTTATAGGGAGAACGCTTGCCAGGCGAAACCCATCACGTCCTGGAACACTGCCGCCGAACTATTTGCTGGAACGGGTTAAACCCGAACCACCCAGCTGACACCACGTGGAGGTTGTTCGGCTAGCCAGCGATGGAATCCATAGTCGCCGATGCACTTGTGTGCTATCTGGAAAACTGCAATCTCATCATTCCTGAACAGCACGATTTCCGTCGACAGCGGTCATGTACAACTAATTTACTAATTGCACGCCGTAGTTGGACCGAGGAAGCTGAAGCTGGAGAAGGTTTTGATGTGATCTACGTGGATCTTTTCAAGACTTTCGATCGTCTAGACCATCGGAGAGTACTATCCAAGCTGCAGCGTTACGGGATTGGAGACCCTCTTTTAAGCTGGATCGCCAACTTTCTATTTCAACGGCAATTAGTGGTCAGAGTTCGGAGCTCTTTATCGGACCCCATACAAGTTGAGTGTGGTGCGCCACAAGGTTCAGTTCTAGGTCCATGTTTGTTTTTGGTGTTTATTAATGACCTTTCACAGGGAATCGCTTCAAACTTCCTAATGTTTTCCGATGATATCAAAATCTGGCGCAGGATCCAGGCGAACACCGACCAACATGTGCTTCAGGGTGACTTTGATACGGTGTATCAATGGTCGAACCAAAACTTATTGCATTTCAACGTCAGTAAATGCAAGGTGCTTTCAATCCGACATCAGAGCAGCTACTCATACCGGCTCGGAACGGATGTACTGCAACAATCAACTCTCGAACGTGACTTTGGTGTCCTGGTTCAAGAAGACTTTGGTTGCTCCGGGCAATCCAAAAAGGCCTCGAAGACCGGGAACCAAAACGTCGGTCTGTTGAGGCGGGCGTTTGGACAAATAAACAGCTCCATATTTCGTCAAATGCTCAGTGCGTATGTTCGGCCCCATGTCGAATATGCAACTCAAGCCTGGCATACATGACTGAAACACGACCTTAATGCACAGGAGCAGCCACAACTTCGGGCATATAAGAACGTTATTGGAATGCGTAATCTTTCCTACCAGGAGAGACTGCAACAACTGGGATTATTCAGTGGAAGCTATCGCAGACTACGAGGCGACCTGATTATGGCATACTTGATTCTGCGAGACCCACACCATGTGTGCCGCCCTTTACTGCAACTCAACAGCAATACCGAACTGGGGGGCCACTCATTAAAACTCGCAGAACAATACTGTCGTCTGGAGTGCCGCAATACTTTCTTTTCCATTCGTGTCTGTTACTCGTGGAATGCCCTTCGAGAATCGGTCGTCTCTGCACCGACACTAACAGTAATTAAAAGACGGTTGCACGATGCACGCATCCACTTACACTTTTTCACTTAACACTACGTCTCCGTCCTACACCTGGAGTTTACCATGGAATTATTTGTTGTTAACTGTGGATGCTGTGGATCTAAGAGGATCGCAGGACTACAGCGGAGCAAACGATTAGTCCTTATTTTCAAATTTAAAGTATTAACTATTTTACTATCCTTATCATCATGATTGTTATGTTGATATCTCCACCAACTACCCAAAGGGATTTGCAAAGCAACGCTTCTTAACCCGTATAAATGCACTGTTCATTGTTCATTGGTTTCAGTGAAACGTTATATTACTGTAAGACACTGTAAGACAAATCGGATCGCTATAATTTAGCATTTTTGCGGCAGCATCTTGTACCGCTGAAGTAGTTATTTCCGATCAGAAACGTTAGGAAACACAGAAGCCAAGTTAGCAGCCGAAGTATGCGCCTCCCTTTATCACGCTGAATATTATAAGCACGCTTTCCACACCCAAGATTTGCTATTCATTTTTTCAAGCCATTGAGTTTCGGGCGTTGTGCGATACCTGATTCTCAGTATCCACGAGAATTAGGTAGCGCCTAGAAATGCAGCTTCTCAGTTCCGTGTTAATGGAATATTGTCTTTTCAGTGAACACTTTGAAATGGACGCTCATAGTCTTGCCTGAAACAAATTTGACAGCGTAACCACACTTGTTTCCTGCACCCGCGATCAAAACTGCTACGGGAGAATAGGCTACGCGGCAACGAGTAGTCTTCAGGCGGCATAGCTTTTCAAGACTCCTTTGTCAACACGTCACATTTGGTATTTGCAAGGTATACTTGTAAGGAATGCCTATTTTGCGAAGATAGGTTGTAAGAAGTTAACTTTTATTCTACAAGAGCGTTGCCAATAACAATTTTATCATTATCTGAGATAACACTAAACAGCTATTACACACTCCTTGCTCAGGCCAGTTACGCCTGTCGAAGCGTCACCACAATTCTACCGCCATAGACGGGTTATGAGGCACCGCTTTTTCCATTTTGCACAACTGTCATCGTTCCAACCGGCTTTGGGGCGGGCCGTAGTTTGACTCCAACTCAACCATCTGCGCCACCCAGCGTTTTCACGATTGACGACCCTGACAAGTACTCATGTACCCACATGCACGAACACAGTTGTTCTAGACTCATGTGATTGGGTGAGACATTTTGAGATATACCAACATCTACTAATGGACAGTTGGTAGTTTAGTGCGCTGTACTTCACTCCCGAATGAATGACCCATTGTTTCACATTAACAGTGTATAGGGACCAGAATTTTGGGACTTATGGTGGACCCCGTGTGTGTGTTTTAGGTTCACCGGTATCACACACTCTTCAGCTGTTTGATGCGCCTTACCTGGCTTCGGTTCATCTTATTTGATTGATAAACATCGGTTCTCATCCATTAGAAGCTCAGCTAATTGAGGTTACCGGTGCATCGATCAAATGAACCATTTTTGTATTGTGGGACGATACAGGACTAACGCGGATAAAGCCGGTAGACATTTTAGAGTACATCGGCTTAGTGAATACACCTCGATTACTGTATCTAAGAAAATGAATAGTGCGATCACTTGGTGTATTCGTGAGCGGCCGGTATCTCCCCCCCACATTAGTGTTCTTCAACAACAAATTTGGACAATGAGTCACCGTGTCCACTGTGGTGGTACCGCCTTACCCCTGCCTACACTGGGCTAGATCAAGGCCAACCTGAACTCCAGTAATATTGTTTTCTTCAGTTACCTTGCGATATTGCAAACTAGCATTTGCACTGCAGCTGAGCCACGATAGATTGGTGACATGTGAGTTGCGTATGAGAGGAACAATAAAATAGTTGCATTGTCGCGCTGTATCTATTGACCTTGAACCTTCTGCATGACGCCTACACCAGTAATCGATGGTAACGGCTATCTGAGATCTTCGCATGGATGACGCTACTTGAGATATTGCAATCCACAAGTTAGTTCTCTAGAGCCAAGTGTTATCTTCCATGTTTTTTCAATTGTCATCAGAGGAAATATTTTGACTGTCTCAGCTTTTGCTTGAGCTAAGGGGATTTTATGTATGTTGCATCCTTTTCGACACCGTAGGAACCTGTTTCTTGCCCAACTGTGCTCCGCACAATGGCCCTTCTTGGTTAACGGAGTCATCAACAAACTGAATTTGTATTTAGATTTCACCGCAGCCGCTCCCTATCTCACATAACCTGCTACCAATTCCGGAAAGCACCAGATATTCATTTTGTACTATCGGAACTCGTTAGGGGTGTGCAATGTCCGCTTCCGTCAGGAACTGAAGCTGTAATAAATAGAGATTTGCTCCCCCATCCAAGAGTTTGTGCCATGAACCCAAAGAGAACTGCAGCGGGCTGTCATGACTTACAAGCTAACTGCGATATAGCGCAACACTTCCTCCGCTGCTATGAAAGTTAGGAACGTTACAAAGGATAGGGTTATCTCCTTGGGATCATGGCGTTCGCTAATGGACGCCAGGTAGGCTATCATTTATGGATTTTTTGAGCAACGGTTGCGAATCCTCCTAAGTAGAGAATTTTGACGTGATTGAACTACTCTCAACAGCAGTCAACTTCCAGCTGGTAATTTCTAGGATTGGCGCTAGGCTATTTGATATGTAAGCGACTGCAATGAGCTCTAAATACAACTACAGTAAAAATATTTCGTATGAGTAACCCTGAATTCGTTCTACCCGATTAGTCTCTTGGTCGTATCAGATAACAGATTAACTAGATGGTTAAATGTACTATGCTTTGGATTTAATTTTCCACATTCGGTGGCTTTAGCACATCAGGAGCAAAAAGCTCAGTGCCATAGGAAGTAAATGTAATCATAAGTAAGATCTCCCACAATCAGTTGTTACAATTATTTCCCACTTCCTGTTCACAGATCTTACGTTGACGGGTGAAATTTGTATGGAGATACATACAGCAGCAATTCGGCTGGGAATTACCTTCATTGCGGATTCATGTGTGCGTTACCTCAAACAGCATTTGAACAGCACCGATTGCATTACCCATCTCCAATACAGTGTCGAGATGGGCAACGAGGAGTTGAAAAATGTATGCATTCAATTTTGTGTAGACAACTTTGAGTAAGTCTTTTAATTCAGTGGTTCAAATGCTATGTCCGCAGTTGCACGCAGCTAGCTGCAAGGTGAACACTGTTGTTCAGGCAGGTTCGGGATAATAAATTTCCTTGGAAGCGGATGTGATGCAAACTTTTTGATGCTTATGATTTGTACTATGCCCCATTGGACAATTTAGTACACTCAATTAACCTGTCGATGGCAGCGTATGAATGTGGTTCTGAATCTGGATGTCTATGCCTCACGTTCCCACAGACTAACACTTTTTCATATATATGGATAAGCCGTCAGGATATACCTTCCTTATTACCTAGTGTTATCATAAACGATGAGTTAAAAGGCTTAATTTAATTGAAGTTACCGTCACGATCGTCCGGTGGATCACTAGCACTTGGAGATATTTCTGATGGGTTAATATGTATAATGACAAGAAATCCATTGACCTCAAACAGCATTTGTCAATGAAAACTAAGTTGACAGCAGGCAACCGCACAAAGCCACACCAGTTCGTCTTTTCATTTCTTCGAGAGTCTTCCACAATTCATAACTTTCGCACCCCAGTTAGGAACCCAAGCCACAGCTCTTACATTCCTTCGAAGATTGAAACATTTGGTTGCGGTAAACGCAGCCAAAGGACAGGGCTTATTAATCAGTTGTGTAATAGTAGGGATCATCTGCTAACGCCGCACATTATCTTGCTATGTAAAGCTCGGAATCCACCTAACGAGGAGCGTCATTCCATACTAAGTTGTTTCCGCCCCTCGTAACATCAGCTAAAGTTGCGACGTTCAGCAGTCCTTCAGTCACTCCCTAAGTGTCCAAAGTTTACCTGAATGAACTAACATTGGTAAACATCTTTTTGTCATTGTATTTCATTGCTGCTTGTACAAACTCCTAAAAGTTCATATGTTTGTAGGGATTCATGACATCTAGACTCATTCAGATGACGTTACACGCCCCGAAAACCGCTGTACGGTCATTTCACCCTATCGGCAAGCGTCAGCATTACGGATTCCATCTGAATCCCATGGGATTCGCACCTGTAACTACTGTTGTCAGTTGCTGAGTGAATCCACTGAGCTACGGTGGACGGTAAAGACCTTAGTGACTAAGTTATTACACCTTCCCCCGTTTGTTTGCATCTGTATTCCAGTTGAAGTACTCATAGAGCATCTGTCCTGTATCCGTAAACTAATTGAACTTGTCTTTAACTCGTTTGCATTGCATTCAATGTTTTTGTGTGCACACTATGCGCGTGCTGTCTTGGAATTGAGATCACTCAAATCGGCCAATGACACTATGGGTCGATAATGTGCGGGAGAGACGCGTAGGCGTTCTAATGCTTATTTAACAATGGTTGACTATACGCCGATTCAGGGGCACGAAGTCCAAACTCACGTGGTGCGACTGGGCTGTGAGTTGAGTGGGCGGAAGTAGAATGCCATATAGGCCAAAGCACCCTCTGTACCCCTTACCGCTTGATTAGATAGTTTTCAACAGATGTTGAGGAGAAACTACGAAAATTACATTCTAGCCAACCAAGCAGAGGGAAAACGCCAAATGCAATAAGCGAATGAGCAGCCGCGGAATGAAGAACGTATCAGGCGTCTCCTTGGAATTGGCATATGGGACCCAAACCTTAAACTAGTTATCCATTCACAACGACGAGTGCTGACCAATCCGAACAAGGAAATGGCGTGTTTAAACAACCATCACGAAATTGACGATAAGAAGAAATATAAACTCGGAAATTAACAATTACTACAGAACTACGTAGCAACTAAACATGCCCTAAACATAACGGAATAAGCATTTATGGAAACAGATACCAATTAACTATGTTCTTGGAATTGGCGTTTCTGAAGCTGACATGCAAGGTGAGCGTCGTTACTAGTGACGTACGTTCTCGAATCGGATTAGAGAGGTGGAGCGTTTAAAACAACTGTCAAGTTGTAGACCATGGGAACAATTAAAACAGAAACTAATCTCGTTCACAAAAATGAATGTAAAATATAGCTTTTTCTAACACCCATAATGATAGTGAAAAAGGTAAAAAAGCCATTTGCCCATGTGCAGATTGTTCAACCGGCCTGAACTCAGCAGTTTATTTCCATCCACCTCTGCTGCAATTACCGGATGATCATTTCGCCAGACCCAATGGCAGTCGAATTCTTTCCAGGTCGGATCACTCGGATGCCCATCTTGAAGTGATAGTCGATGTTGACGCACGGCCTCTTCTTACACTTAGCACTTACTGTGGTCTGTATTAGTACAGTCGACTATTATTTGGAGTAAATACTGCTCCGAGACCCTACCAACAACATGCCATCAGCTAGTACATACTTGTATGCTGTTATTGTCCCATCATCAGATAGAATGCAGCATAGTTGCCATCTCTTACTTGTATCCGAACGCGTAGGGAAATATGGCTTGGCTCTGAGAACTGGTAAATGTATTTCTATGCCTCAAATGAAATACCTTGGATTTTTGGCCGATCATGACGTGGGGGATACCTGATATTGGAAAAGTGCGCTCCATAGAGTAAGTACCTTCATGGCACGATATACCTTTTCTCGAGAATAAAATGTTTATCCATTTATTTATTTAGTTAATTGTTCCTGTGCATTTATTTCTGTTATTAATCGACTGCGCGGGCTAACGCATAAAATGCTGGGTAAAAATCGTCCCAGGTTTTGGCCATCCCAGTGTGTGGAAAGGTTTAGAATCATGTAGAAAGATATTATATCTGTTAATGCTGACACATTATAACCCAAATGCAGACGTCATTGTCTCTGCAGATACCACAATTTAGTTAATTGAGGCAGTTATTCGTCAGCGATTCGATTCCCGCACCATGCGATCGGTTTCCCATGCACCACCTGCTTTATTAGAGTCCAAAAGAACTTACTCACAGAGCAAGCAAGTGGCACTAGCCTTAAATTTTACTGTCAAAGTGTTTCATCGGGTGCTGCAGGGTAGAGAATTCGTATTAGAGACTGACTATAAACCATTATTATCCAGTTGTGGTTCAAAGAAGGGTAGGTGTACGGTGTACACGTATAATCACCTTCGACATTAAGCGATACTGTCGCTGGGATATAATGTTTCACTAGAGTATGTGTCTACGACAGAATTCGGCTGTGCCGATGCGTTGTCTCGACTTATGGCAAGACATTCGAGCATGAAAGAAGGTCAGTGATTGTTGCAGTTGCGCTTGAATTAGATGTGAAAAGGTTTTTGTATAGTTCAGTCAAAAGCTCTTCCGGTTACTTCTGTGGAGATTTCAGAGCACGTCAAACCACTCTCTTTTGTGAAACGTTATTAGATATTTTAAAATGAAAGTGACCATACCGGATTACTGACACACACCTTCATCAGTTCTATCGCCAACGTGACTCGTTGGTTTGAAATAAGTTGATACGCTTAGTGGCCAATCAACAGCACATGCAGGGTTTTTGGGACGGAGGCCAAGACACTATGCAGCCAATCAGAGATAGATTGTGAAGGAAGTCGACAAGCTTAGCTTCCAGTCACCAGCTCAGGCCGCCTGTTCGACTAACATGCAAAGGCAGGTTGCAGCACTTCGTATTGCTGTTAATACACTAAACGACCAATCAGAGACACGGACCGTCCATGGGCAGGAGACCGCTGTTTGTGCGGTAGAAAGAACATGCCAGACACAAACCCAGTCAACATCGCCGGCAGTCACAATAAGAGCGCCAGTATCAAGGCCACAGACCGCTAATTACCTGCCGCATGACATAGACCACTAGTAAACATACACCGAGAGGCGGCCCGCAGAGCCAATCAACATCGTCGTCACAAACTGGTTGCGGTTGGATGAACGACCCAGGATCGAGGAACGCTAACCAATGAATGCAAACTCATGACCAGTGTGGAAGCCAGTTTGACGCGACGCAGAAAATAGTAATATGTAGTACAAAACAAAGCTGGCACAGCAATAATGATCTTTGTGTCGCCGCACGGTCTTCGTTTTGTCCAACGGAGGGTAGCTCATTTCACAGTTGGCACTGATTGATGATTGTGTTATGTTCGGTGAACGCGGGCTTATTTTGAAATCTCCGAAAGCAAGGGTATTAAGGCACTTGTATCTAAAGCACCCAGGAATATCATGGATGAAGCTCTAGCCAGAAGTTACGTATAGTTGGCGTCATCCACACACACACATCCTCACACTGTGGCCTCCCTTAGGACAGCCACAAGATGCCCGCACCTACAGAGGGACCATGGGTGGCTTGAGCTGCACCAACCACAGCTCCATTCACACACACTCATATCCGGTGTCAACCCGAAGGAATAAGACCGGGAGGCATGCGGATCGCAGCCACGGTTCATCAACGGAGCCGACACACTTCTTCACAGGCAAACACAAGCACGCTGTATTTGGGAATCAATCGCACACAAGGCGGTGCTTAGACCGTAACCCGTTCCACACACAAACCTTGTGCATAGAACCACCTTAACGCCCAACATGGTCACGAGGACCGTACACCACGTCCACTCCAGCAACGACCAACTGCCTCCTGGGGTCATTACAGACGCGGTGGTGGGTAATAGACAGGTAGGCAGCTTCTCAACATGCACATCAAGCGCAGCTTTAACGGAGATGTCGAGTAACATTGAATCACCTGAAATGAGGATATCAACTAAAATAAATCAAACAAAGCATATGGATATGCTGACTTAATTCGACACTAAATTACCGAATGAAATAAATGGGTTTTCGACATAACCGGGGCAAAATCAAGATGGCGGAAAAAGCTATCAAAAACATACAAACATTGCGAATAAAATTAGTGAAATTAAGCTCCTTTCGTTTAAGCTACGTGTGTAATTAGACAGAAGATTATTCAGATAGACATTAAAATGAGGTGACCAAACAAGTATTAGAATGATTTACCAAACCCACCACCTGAAATGAATAAACTCAGCAGGCAAGCACGACGTTAGTAAATCGAATGCAGTATACCTACAAACGCTGCGTC